GGGCCCCTCAAGCCGGTTATCCCCTCAAGCCGGTTATGTGAAAGGTTTAAGACTGCAAGAAATGTTAGATCTGCCAACTGTACTGGAATCCTTCCAGTAAGAAAATTTGAAGATAGATCTAATGATTCCAGATTGGTAAACATTCCTAATGATGATTGAATTTGACCTGTAAGGGAATTATGAGAGAGGTTGAGTTGTTGAACTGTTTTAAGCTTTCCGATCTCCTTCGGAATCTCTCCGATGAAATTGTTGTTTGACAAATCAAGTATTCTAAGAATGCTTTGGATTTTCGGGAAATATTGATCAAACCCTTTCTGTTACAGTGTTAAATGTGCACGGGGTGCACACCTAAGGCATGCTGTCCAATACCAGGCCTAAGGGTGCTGGCAGCCATGCCAACGATGGGATAAATGAGCAGCGCAGATTTATGCGGCTATAAGTTTGTCAAGCGAAACATCGGCAGCACAGATTGCTGGGCTTGACGATGGAATGTCCAAGCCAGAATGGAAGACTCGTCAATGGCATAGGCTGGCGAGAACTGGGGCTGTCGAGAAATGCGGGGTAGCGCAGGATGTTGACAAACATAGGCTTGGCGATGGAATGTTCAAGCCAGACAAGGAAACTCGTCAGGGGCATAGGCTGGCGAGAACTGGGGCTGTCGAGGAATGCGGCAGCACAGATTGGTGATGTCTATGGGCTTGGCGATGGAATGTCCAAGCGAGACAGGAAAACTCGTCTGGGATATGGGCGGACGAGAATTGGGGCTGTCAAGGAATTCAGCAGCGCAGACACTAGGAGCTTGCGCGCAGATGGGAATTCGGCAGCGCAAGATTTGGCTAGCTTGCACGCAGATGTGAATGCGGCAGTGCAGACATTGGGGCCTGCACGCAGTTGTGAATTCGGCAGCGAAGGAATTGGGGCCTGCACGCAGATGCGAATTCGGCAGCGCAGGAATTGGGGCCTGCACGCAGAAGCGAATTTGGCAATGCAAGATTGGGGCCTGCACGCAGTTGTGAATTCGGCAGCGCAGGATTTGGGGTCTGCACGCAGAAGCGAATTGGGCAGTGCAAGATTGGGCAGCCTGCACGTAGATGTGCATTCGGCAGCGCAGACATAGGGGTCTGCACGCAGATGCGGATTTGGCATCGCAGTATTTGGCAACTGTACCCAGGGTGCGCCCTCAGCAGCGCACAAGAGCTTGCGCAAGTCAGGGGCTTGACTTAGCAAGATCTAAAACTTGGACGATGGACTGTCCAAGGCATGTGGGTGATTTAGCAGCAGATGAAGCTAGAGCTGGCAAATGGAGCTGCCAGGCAAGCATGCAGAAAGTGGGAGCATAACTGGGGTGTTTCCAAGTTGCTAGAATCATGAAGCACATGGGGGAGGAAGTTCTCCACTATATCCTGGAAATAGGGATATGGGTGAGCCACAAATGATCATGGGGATCATGGGGGAGTAAGTACCTATTATGTCCTGAAATATGGGGATCATGGAGGTGCCCTGTAGCTCACATACTTGGCTATAAATGGTGATGGTAATTCTTTGTTGTATAGGGAGAATACATAGAGAATAGAATGCATAGAGAGGAAATAACGTATGTAAACTTGTTGGTGTAGCATGTGAATTCTGTGCATAGCACACGTTGTGTAATCCTTTGTTGATGAGATAAATAAAGGTTGAGAGGTATTCTTGTATTCTCGGTGTGCTTGGTTAAGAGCAATTCTACTTGTGTATTCCGCTTGTCTTTAACATGGGAAAGTGGGGAAACCTCTCGGGTGAGGGAAAACACTTAGTTAATAGGCAAACACGAGTGGATAAACGAGGGAAGGCTGAGTCTAGCGAGGGACTAGGCTGCCGCACGGGTTTATTCGCGTAGCGAAAAATTTAACCCCGTGACACTTTCCATGTCACTTCAATGTAATAGGCATAGGCATAGTCAAAGTATTTAATTCTTCCCATCATGTAAAATGAATTTTGATCATAGACCATCATTGCTTCAAAACTATTGAAATACCATGTTGGCAATGATCCACTTAAATTATTGCTGGAGATGTCCAAAATCCATAATTTCGAGAAGGAATTATTACCAATCCGACCATTCAAAAACCCTGGAGCTTATTGGACTTTAGGACAAGAACATGCAGCTCTGGAAGCATTTCAAGGAAATAGGGGAATGTATCCTCAATCTTATTGTTGCCAAGATCAAGAACTTGCAGCATTGTACAGTTGATGATAGACAATGGTATTTTCCCTTCCAATTGATTGCCATTTATGTTGAGATATTCCAAGTTATTCCCTTTTGAAAATGGTAAAAAGATGGTGCCTTGAAGATTATTCATGCCAAGATTCAAAACTGAGAGAGAGTTGCTAAAGTTCCCTAAACATTGTGGTATAAAACCACTGAAGTTGTTTTGGGACAAATCAAGGAATCTGAGGAATTTAAGCTTGCAAATAGAAGAAGAAATTTCACCTGTTAATTTATTGTTGGAAAGAGCAAGGGCTTCCAGGTTCTCTTGTTTGAAAATTGAACTTGGGATTGGACCATGCAAGTGGTTGTATCTCAAATCAAGCAATCTTAATGAAAGAGTATTTATTTGAGAAGGGATAGGTCCTAAAAGTTGATTACTCGCTAAACCTAATACTTCAAGGAGGGTCAGGTTACCTAAAAATTCTGGAATCCTACCTGAAAAATTACAGCCATCGAGATATAAGATTTGAAGTTGCACAAGATTTCTAAGTGATGATGGAATCTGACCGCCCGAATTGCAACCTATGAGGTCTAAACGAGTGAGCTGTGTGAGATGACCAATCAGGGTTAGATTTGACCTTATGATATTACATTCTCTAAGAACCAGAACTTCCAACAACTTTAGATTTATGAAGAAGTCATTTTCTAAAGAAACTGAAATTTTCGTAAGAGTAAGAGCCAATAACCGGAGGCCATCACTCACATTGAATGAAGGAAAAGAGCCAGTGAGGTCATTGTTGTTAGACAAATCAGGCACTTCAAGGTTTGGTAGGAGAAAGATGTTACCTGGGAACTTCCCTTTCAATCCACAACCCCAAAGGGCTAGAGGTGACAAGGATGAGGACAGATTCGCCAAGGAATTAGGCGTGACCAAAGACATATTTACACTACCCAAACGGAGATTTCTTAGCTTGGTTAGGTTTTGAATAATCTTGTCAAAAGAACTTGGTTCTACACTCAAATAGTCATTGAAAGAGAGATCAATTGAAACCAACTCAGTGAGTTGCCCAAGATCATCTGGAATTGAACCTGTAAGATTGTTTTTTCGAAGATCCAACTGCTGGAGGTGCTTAAATTTTCTCATTGAGGATGGGAATTTTCCTTGCAGTCCACAGGAACGGAGTATGAGTGACGACAAAGAAGAAGACAGATTCATCAAGGAATTGGGTG